TACCGCTAAAAAAGATCGAGCAATATGCTGTCCCTCTAAAAAACAGTACTATCACAAAGAGATGGTTTCATGGCTAATTAAGCAAACTTCTCAAAGATATATGCCTTGGAAAACCAGGCCACAAATCCTCCTATATACGACTTGAAAAGGCCAATACCACAAAACTTCACATCACTTAATTTTCTCCGCAAGAGACCTTCTCTTCTCTTAGGAACAATGTCAATGAACTCTTAGTTCATCCTTCTATTTGTAGATCAGGACATCAGCTCACACTAACCCACTCAAAAATAGATAGAAATAGGACAACTTATCAAATAGGGATCGATTTGATACGCACCTCAACAATTTTTAATTTTACAGGTCTTTCATGGGGCCAATCAACTCTTCTTGTGAAGAAATAATCTATCTGGCCAGTATTTCATCCATGTTTAAGATTTCTAAATGAAACACCCTCTTTCCAAAGAATGTGTTCCCTAAAGCTAAATCATAAACCAAATTTAAAACTCTAATGTATCATCTCTTTTTCTCATTCTTGTTTCTGAATCCTTGGCCATGGAATCTTCTCCTTTGAATACCATTTCCTTAATTATTAGCTATGCCTAACAAAAGCTTATCCACACATCAAAAATTATTTCCTTTCACTCTTAAATATCCTTGTGAATTTCTTTTAAACTCTTACCATTTAGCAACACGTCTCCGTTTCATTTTATTATATACGTAAAGTTGTGAAGATTGACGTGGATAGGAACTCGAAATATAAGTCGACGCTATGCTAGATTTTTTTTGTTATAATATTAGTTGTCTACATTATAAATAAATTTAATATTTATTACAATCATGAAGTAGACATAATTGTCGAACTACATAAATTTATGGATCCATGATAAAAATTTAATTATATAGGAACGCATAATTAAAAATCTATATTTATTTATTTTGGAAGAAAGTTAGATAATATGATGTTTTTATTAGCTCTATATGGGGGCTTTGTTTTTCCAGATACGGAATTTTCTAGCAAAAAGAAATGGAAAACCTGGATAATAGTGGACATGCATTCTTCTTTGGAATAACAGCCAAATTTTTAAATCTGTAAAAAGGATATGCAGAAAGACATGAGCTTGCATCGAATGAAATAACCTTGTGACTAGCTCGTTGCGCATGTGGATTGCGAAAGAATCTTGCAAAGCGACTGGTGACCTCTTCTACGTACGTCTATGGTGCTAAGTGAAAATGCTTCTACGTACATTTGTTAAGCTTCTAATTATTGTCCTGCTGCTAAGTAACTGTCCAGTAAACCTGGCTTTTGTTCCATCTGCAGCAGTTATAGCTGAACTGGTGTGATATGATGCGAGAAGAGTAGCCAAAATCTTGAATAATATTTTAAAAGACCTCTTGGAGAACTACAGTTACTTCTACAAACGCGTCCATTTATGTCGCAGTTTTCCATTTCAGCTTCATGCTATTTCTCAATTTATATGGTAACTAGTCTCACGGCTATTAGGTGAACATAAAAAGAGCTATCCAAGCAGTCTATGCAAGACAACCATCACAATATAGAAGATGAAAATATCAGTGGTTTTCATGGAGCAAATCATGGATATAAACCACAAAATGTAATGTACGTTTTTACAGTAACATATTAATTGTCCGTCAAAATTGGATTATCTCATTGATTATATCCAGCTACTCATAGATGCTCTATGAGAGTAAATTTAAGCAGGTCCCCACCACGCACCCCCAAGATTATCTGAGGAAAAATTTTGTTCACCATCATGATTTGTTAATAAAAGTTTCTCCCGTTGATCTAGTAGCAAGTAAGTTGATTTTAGATTGAATTTTTTATTAATATGCAGAGTTTAAATTCTAAAATCGTATTTATTAAAAAAAATTAAATCTTAGCATTCTCTCTCTAAACAGAGTTAATCTTATTTTCAATATGTTTAACATATGGGACTTTGCACTGTAGAGCTTTTGGTTAATCATCTTATCTTTGGTCATTCTAAGAGAAAAGACATGAGGTCCCAAATACAGTAATACTAGCTAATAATATTTTACTATCTATTTTAAAAGTTAAACATAAATGGTCACTCTTCCAACATGTGCACATATAAAAAAGACAGCAATTTGAAAAATAAGCCAATTTTGAAGGGAAAAAAAAATTGTAAACTAAAAATTTTGAATCAGAATTTCTTTCAATATGTTTATTGTTAAGTATTTTTAATTTAATTGATTTTTTTAATATTGTAAGAGAAAAGAGAGCAAATACTTGTCGATCTGTGACAGTAAATCAACTTACGTACATCAAAGTTTATTAAGCCTTTTAAAAATTTATGATGATATAGGTGTAAATTATGTATATATCATTTGCACCTTAATTAGATTTCAGTGGAGCCTTTCTGAAAAAAAAAAAATATATATATATATATATATATATATATATCAAATGATACAATTTTATATTCCACAGAAGTCATTAAAAATTTAAATTGAATATATATCGAAAATTTTTATATTATTGCAGGGGAAAAAAAAGGGAGAACTGGAAAAAAAATTCTTCAGTAAATGTTCATTTTTGGCAGCATATTTGCCTTCTGTGCAATCATTCTGATCAACCCATGAATAGATGGAAATTTTTCCTCTAGCCTTTTGCAACTTTTTATCCTGTGTCTTGGCAGAGAGGTTTTTCACATTCTCGTTAATACACGATGGATCCCTCATTTGTACCTATGGAGGTTTTCTAACACTACCCGATATACCAGCCTAAATGAATGGTTGAAAAAATAATCGCGATCGTTATCACGGATTATGACTTATTATAATACTAAAATAATGATAATGGGATGTTCCGAAACCGTTATATTATGACGGTGTACTAAATGGGATGTTTCAAAACCGTTATATAATAACGATAATGGAGGTTTTTCACTTTCTCGTTAATACATGACGGATCCGTCATTTATACCTATGGAGGTTTTGTAACACTACCCGATGTACCAGTCTAAATGGATGATTGAAAAAATGATCACGATCGTTATCGCAGATTATGACTTATTATAATACTAAAATAACGATAATGGGATGTTTCGAAACCGTTATATAATGACGGTGTACTAAATGGGATGTTTCGAAACCGTTATATAATAACGATAATGGAGGTTTTTCACATTCTCGTTAATACATGACGGATCCCTCATTTGTACCTATGGAGGTTTTCTAACACTACCCGATATACCAGTCTAAATGGATGGTTGAAAAAATGATCACGATCGTTATCGCGGATTATGACTTATTATAATATTAAAATAACGATAATGGGATGTTTTGAAACCGTTATATAATGACCATTATATAATATAATGACTTTTATTTAAAACTATGGTATAACCCACGTGGGGTTGGTTTGAGCTTTATAGGACTCCATGAAATTCTTTGGAATAGAAATTGATATAGGTCAGGTTCTGGAAAGAAATCCATGAAGCTGGGTATCTGCATTTCATTTTTGATAATGGTGTCTGTCTGTCTTGAAGCATCCGTGCATTACCATAGTAAAAGGTGCATAGATTCTCAGGCTCAAGCATTGAATAAGAAAAGAGGCGATCCATTAATTAATAGGCTAATAGGCTAGCTCTTTATGAAAGTATGCTTTCTATCAGGTTTGTTCAATAAAGAAACATCATCTCTCACCGTGGTAACGTTAGGTCAGAATTCTGGAGAACAGACCAATCTACTAGAGATTTTACTGACAATAATGCTCGATACAAGGTTGCAAAATTTTCATACAATAAATAAGCTACAAAAACTTATTATGATTTTCTTTTTCCAAACCTCCTTAAGTTTTAACACAAACGCAGCATTCTGAACTGGCTGTACTCAAAAAATCTTAAAACCCAATACCCATTTTCAACATGGCATGACCAAGGAGCATAGCAAAATTTCACCAACTGGGTTATTCATGCATTAAAAAAAAAAAAAGAAGCAAGTCAATAATCATGCAAAATTATCCAAGAAACAATAAAAGATTGTTAAGCTAAATTTTGCAGTAGCCTTAAAACTGAAAAAAAAAAAAAAAAAATTCTATAATAAAAATCAAAACAAAGACAAAACTGAAACTTGGAGCTGCCCACAGAATGCAGACAGCCAAACGGTATCACATAGGCAAGCAAAGGCATAGAAGTTCAAGCCTGAAGATGTTGAAAGACAAGGAGAAAGAGTAGAGAAGGAAAGACTGATGAGAAGAGAGTCTCATGTCCGAAAGAAATGAAGAGAAAGCCAAAGTGATGCATATTTCTTTGCATTGCAGTAAAAAATAAAGACAGACTTGGGGAACAAGTGAAAAAGAAAGTATTTTTTGTATGACGAGAGAAAGACTTGTAGAAGGTGGATTCACAGACTTTGAAGGAAGGTTAGACAGCTACAAATGCCATGAAAAAGAAGTCTTCGGTAGGGTTAGAGAGCAAATCCATGAAAAAGGCAAAGAAATCTGTTCATATTCAAATCCCCATGTCCACGAGGGATCATTTAATTTTTTTTATTATTAAAGGAAAGTCTTTTCAAAATCTCAAAACTTGGCTCCTATACTTTCAAGAAATTAGTGGGTTACCATAAGAAAACCATTCTGACTCACCTACACAGAATTTCTTTCCTTTTTCTGTTTTCTCCAACTAGATAATAGTCATTAAACTGGTTTGGATCCGGATTAACCTCCAACAAAATACCAATTTTTATTCTGCCTTTTACAAAATCATATATCTTCACTCTTCTGCAGCAATAGGGAATATAAAAACATCTTTGTACAAGAAATACAAATTTTCTTCATAAGGTTGATACAAATTCATACATTGATTATAACTTTGTTCCTAAGGTTAATTTCCTAATTCATATGTTGACCTCAATTTACATGGAAATTTTCTCCGCTGCCATACGTTCCAAAGATTTAATTTGATTCTATCATAGGTTTTATTTAACTCTATTATATGCTAACCATGCTTATATTACAAGATCTAAATCCGCGAGTATGAAGAATGATTTGATTGAGAACTCTTGCTTTGCTTTAGACGCTTCTGCCTATATCTCCAGGCAACTTGAATGCGGGTAGCAGCAAGGGCTCTCCAGTAGGGAGATTGATACCTGTCAGAAAGCAAAACAAAGTCAAGTGGAAGGCCTTGCTGTTTTAAGAGTGCATCTAGCAACCAAATAATTTAATGTGCACTTATCCCCCTTAATTTTTTACTCAAACCAACATTTTGTTTAATTTTTTTACTTGAAGCAAATCTTTGATTATATATAACTTCAAGTTATGCATAAGTCATGTTAAAAGAGCACTAAACAACTCAACCTTCAGAATCTACATAAAGGAAAGACATTCATATATGTTTAGTAGAACTTGTCACTGTTTTATGTAGCATGTTCAGCCCTGTATTTATCATCAAATCACAACTTCACTGGAAGTTAAAAGCCGCCACCACAAGTTGCCGAACTAGTAGTGGCTTAACCCTAAAATCCTTGCATGAGGCTTGTAGTATTAATTGGCTACTACAATGGTAGCCACAAAGAAGATCAAAGCGATTCTACAGGTAACTTTAGAATCCCTGCATCAAGACTCTAATTCAATATGGCAGCTGGAACTTTAGAACCATGATGGCTTAGTTATTCTGACAGTTAACTTTATGATCCTAGAGCGAAGACACCTTCAAGGTCTGTGATTATAGAACCACAACCACTGCCGAAATAACACCTTCACTGAAAGTTGTATCCACTAACATAAGCACTTTCCCTGTTTTAATTTTATGATTTTTTTTTATGAGGCTCGATTGACTCTTCTTGAGAGGGAAGGGCTTGTTTATTTCTTTCATGTTCAAGTAGTTTTAAATTAGATGCCCTCTTACTAAAAAAGGTGTTTACAATACCTAAATGATCTGCTAGATCAAACTCTAAAATAGCATCCTTTCTCTCATTCCTGTTTCTAAGTCTGTGGCCTCAATACATACTCCTAACTGTCATCATTGCTTCCCACGTACCCATGAAATCTTCTCGCATAAATGTGTTTTCATCATAAGGCATTGCTAAGAGAAGCTCGTTTACATACTCAGAAAAAAAATAAGAAAAAAAGGATACCGTCATTCAATCCCTTTTGTGCATGCATAAGTCTTAAAAAATTTAATTATCTCCTTCCAAAAAGCAATGACTCAGCCAAGATGATCCCATTTTCTATCCTGCTGATCCCTGTGACTTCTTTTAAGCTCATATTCAAGAATTATCTCCACCCCATTTTTTGTTTTTAATCCCTACACATTTAAAAGTTTATGACTTATGCCTCAACCTCCTGAGTAATATATTCAAGATTATGATTTGGATCCATGACAACGACTCTGGAATGCAATCATCTAATATGAAATTTTGATGGAGCTTAATCTTTTATTATTATTCTTTTCATGGTAGGTGTTTTCCTAAATAAAAGGTGAAAAGCTTGAATAATAATTGACATGCTTTGTTTTCCGGCATAACAAAGTCAAATTGCTACACCTATTAAAGCTTATGCAAAAAGATATGAATTGGCATCGAAGTAACCTTATGGCTCCTTGGACAAGTGGATTCCGCAAGTTTCTTGCAAAAAGGCTGGTGACTTCTTCAAGGTCTGCTGCACTGAGTGAAAATGCTTCTACATTTTTTAAGCATCTTACTGTCCTGCTACTAATCAAGCGTTGTCCAGAAATTTTGATTTTCCTTCCATCTGCACCTGAGTCAAAATTAACCACACTCATGCTCTTATGATGTGATAGACCACAATCACTGGAAGTTTATTAAGTGGATAACTTAAACTAGTCTATAATGAAGTGATATAAAAATCAATTTACTTTTAAGAATCATGATATACCTCTGTACACCGAACTATGCTCAAGAAACCATGTGAGAAGTTCCTCACCACAAACATTCCCTTCACACAAGGTTACCACAGTTCCATCATGTCCGATGCTTTCCAATTTTCCACGCACAATAAAAACCATCTTCTCAACCAGACCACCAACATAAAAAATTTCACTTCCTTTTATGTATATTTTCTGTTTTAGTTTCTCACAAACAGCATCTAGGACATGATCATCCATTAGGTTAAAAATCCATACCTACAAAATTTTGCAAGTAAATGCATAATAAGTTAATCCAAAATTCATGGTTATGAAATCGGAAAATCTATTTACACAGCAAATATTATATTGCTCTTTGATTGGGATGAGATATGGAGTTTGAATGTTGTCTCACAGCCCATCAAATCAGGAAGTTATCTGCCCTAAGGATCGGAAGTTATCTGCCCTAAGTATCTGAAGTAATCAATGGGCAAGCAATATGTAACAAATTGATTTTATTAGACTCAGACATTTTGCGTCTTACCTTCTTGACAAATTTGTAGAAGTGTCTTCTTATATCCCTCTGGAGGTCTTCAGGCAAATTCTCCAAAAGCATTTCTTCATTCACACCTCTAGTAGCAGCCCAATGATACCGTTCAGCTTCTAGCACTCTCCTACATGAGAGCAGTTTCAATAGTTATTGGATCCATGAACTATATGCCAAGGAATGCAATCATACATAGAAGTAAATCATTACAAATGCGCCACAACAAAGGGGAATATTATCGATAGAAATGCATAGAAATAGTAAAAGACAATAGCAACAGGCAAGTCGTAAGGAAAGAATATTACACTGCAAAATGATCCAAGAGAATAAATTCCATAAATCCCATATCATTTTAGTAACATTTGATGGAGATAACAAGTGTTTTTTAATTGAGTTTGGTAGCACTACATAAAGGAATTCAATGACAGAGTTCCACTCATTGTGTACTTCGAACAGTACAGCCTTGAAACCGTGTGGAATTACATTACATTTCAACACTAAATCCTTCATGTCAAATAACATATGATTGAAGTGTGTATGTGTGTGATGGAGAGAGAGAGAGAGAGAGGTTTAACAAAAGAGGGGAAAAAAATGAAAGAAGGAAAGAAAGAAAGATAGAGAGAGAGAGATAATAATTTTTAAAAAAAATTAATGGCAAACCTTCTTAGTTCTTGTGGCAAGCGCCGATGTTTCATCCACTGCTCAACATCACGTCTCCTTAGTGACATTTCTGACCTCCTAGAAGGGAGACCAATAAACAGTTACTAAGTAATGATTAGTCAAACAGATGACATTCTAGCCTACTCGCAAATAACAAATTAGGAATAGAAAACTAATTGGTTAATATGAACTGCATTGTAATAGCACCATATGGAAAGTGACATACAGGTTTACAACAATTTCTTCTCAAGGAAGCAATCACAGTAGACTTGCATCTCATTTCTCATATATCACTTCCATCTTTGGAGATTTAAATTAAAAAAAAAAACAAGTAATATTGAACTCACATATCATCAAGATTAACTGTTTCAAGTACCCAATTGGTGTAAGCTCAACAACTGAACTTGATGTGATGTGACACCAAAAGAGCAGCTTGCTAGAATAAGATACTGAGAAAACAATGTAAAGAACTACAAGTACCGATGACTATATTTGTTATCAAGCCCATAGAGATCAATCAACATATCAAAGTTGACTTTTATGGCATTAGGCATGAACAACAATACGTACTATAAATGTGTCCAAGTTTGCAGTAATTCTATCCATTTTTCCTCCATCCTACAACTTGACTTATGGTAACTATTATAACAGTTAATGAGGGGATCATAAAAACAATTCAGAAGAAGTCTATATAAGACAGCTATATGTTGATAAAGAAGGTGATAACATACTATGAGTTTCATTAAGCATATCATGGATGTAAAACCAAAATACTGGAAACTAAGTTAAATTTAACAATTCTCTATAAAAATAGGATTCTATCATGATGATACTGAGCCAATCACATACGTAATGAAAATTTAAGCAGGAGCCATACCATGCACTCTCAAGATTATCTAAACAGACTTTCATTTGTTTTCATTGGTTATATAATTCAAAAAAGTCTCTTGTTAATATTTTGGACCTTTGCATCAGAAGATTTCTTTATTGAGAGTAAGAGTTCAAGCAAGGTGGAGTTATTTTGGTATTGGTTAATCGCCCAACCTCAGGTTATCTTAAAAAAAAAAAGGCCATGAACCATGACTGCATAAAATGTATCTAAAACCCATGAAAGAGTTTTAATAAGAAAGTAATGAAAAATATCTTTAAACCTTGACCTGTGATTACAACCTAGCCAAGCTTGGGCTATAAATTTCTTCCTCACTAGAAGCACCACTTCACATACACACTCTCACCTAGATGGCTAGGCCATCCATGCTCTCAAATACGAACATTATTGAAATGGATACAAAAGAATAAGGTTTTCACCAACAAACATTTAACAAAAAGAAAAAATTGCATCCCAGGCAAGGGCTTTCGCATGATATTTGAGAAGAAAATTTTAATAATAAGTTATACCTCCTACCAAGAGCCTGAAGAAAGTTCTGCATATTTCCTATTAGAAAAGCAAAGAGCAAGAGGCCAAGTCCAATGATTGCCATGGTATAGAGGACTTCCCAAATAAAATAGCTTGGTATTTGGTTTCCAGCAAGAGTACTGATTTGCTTCACATAATAAAAAGTATAAGATTATTTCAACAAGAAATATAGACAGTTTTATATTTCACACCAATATAGACATAATTATAATGATTGGAAAAATATACAATAACTGCTTAAGATCAAGCAAGTACATGGCATAAAATATAAGGGTTATGAAGAATTACTCTAAGAAATCAGGGGTTTTAGGATAAACAGGATTAAAATGGACCATGTATTGTAACTTAGGCAACACCCACCGACTAAAAAGGAGATGCTGTTAGATTAGGTCTGAGAATAAGTGCACTAAAGCGATCAATTACCCATCATACAAAAGAAGATGGACAATGAAGAAGATATTACCTAAGAATAAAAGCATGATGATAAAAGACAATAATTTTAGTAACAATACCATCTTGGAAAACACACTTTAAGTTGCAAGTTCACACCTTTAAGTGATAAGTTTCATATTCCTTAGTCCTTACTTTAGATCAAATTTCCAGTTAATTTATAATAGATAGAAGAAAAGTTAAGAATGGTGTAAATAATATACCATTGATCGCATACCTGGAATCCCCAAAATAATGAATATGTGTATCTGGTGATGGTACTTTCCCTGGTGAGATTGACTGCTTGGATATAGATTCCATAAGAAAAACCATCCAATGTAAAACAAGCACTGGCATTATCATTTTCTTTCCAGCTATACCAGTTCGGATTGGAGCCATGTTCTTTAACAGCAACAGCATCCCCGTATCCACAATCTATAAACTTCTTGCAGTCATTTTGATAAGCAGAATCACGGCAGGCATTACGAAGACATTCATTAACCCTCTGTTGAAAGAGTAGGAGAATTGTTTGAGTACCACCACTAATGCATCGTACTGTGAAACTAGTTTTAGAATTCGCTTAATTGACCAAAAGGAGAAAGCAAGCAATATGCCAAAGAAAGAAAACAAACCATGTCGGGATAACATAAGAAGAAAGCAACCAAACCATGCCAAGATAATGTAAGAAGATAAATACAGTGCGATACAAGTAAACCGAAAAATAACTAGGAGTTTGATTTATTGACTTCAATTGCACAAATATTGCTTAAGAATTAAAACTTCAGTGTTCGAATTCTAAGAAATTCAGTCATTACAAGAATTACGTATTGAAGCAGGCTGCTATATGGGAGGGATATATGCAGCTGAGTAGAGATACAACCTAGAAAATGTATGAAACAAGTCTTAAAATCATTGTAAGAAAAGAACTTGAAATCCGAGCAATGACATCAACAAGAGAAACTTAGAAGAATGATGCTCAGGTCTTGATTTGAAACTAGTTACTATACTTCATATGAAAATAATTATGATTTCATTATATTATAATTCAAATGGAAAGCAGAATGATACAATATTTAATTGCTTCAGACGTGACAAATTCGAGGATGAATTATGACTGCACTTCTTGAATAGGAGAGGATGAGAAATAATGAAAAAAATTATCATTAACATTTCAGCCACTGTTATATATTTCTAGATACTGAAATCCAGAATAGTAACAAAGTCTATAAAAGCTTTAGGATATTCGAAGGGTAAGAAAAATGTTAAAAGAAATAAAGCTCTACCAGCATATTTAAGCACATAATGACTTCTACTCACCTGCAACCCAAAGAGATACCAACACGACCCAATGATATGGCCAGACAACACAAAGGTGAAAAGATTTATGAAGAAGTTTGCCAAAGCGGTCTCAAATATGAAGCCATTTGGAGACTGGCCAATGAGAAGAGGAATAAACCTAAACAACCTTGGAATGTACTGAACAAGAATAACTGCCCGTAAAAGATTCTTGGCATAGTTTGCTCCAGAGGAATCCAATCCTTTTGGTAGGAGTAATAATACAATGATCTGCACATGATTACCAAGAATATGGTGTCAGATGCAGGTTTAAATTTATATTAGACACGATTAACCAAATACTAGAACGATTACAAATTTATATTACACACAATTAACCAAGTACTAGAAGATTACAGAGTACATTCCATGCACAATTATACAAGCAATCACAAATTATTCCAATTTCAGAATAGGTGACAAGAAATTCAGAATAGTTAAAACTTCCGCTACCTCCAGCTCCTAACTCCAGCCAGTCACTCTAGTCAACTGTACTTGTAAAGCAAGGCCCGCCAAAAAAACCTTAGGCTTTGATGGATTGGGTGGGACTTGGGAGCTGGGAAACAAAAGGATTGTATGTTTCTTTGGAGGTATCCTATGTTTGTTGTTGTTTGGTAAAGGGAATGGAGGACTTTTAAGGATCTTTTCCTTTCAATTCAAAGCAAATGAGGCGAGATAGGACTTTTGGCCTCTGTATGATGTACTGCTTCAAAGGCAGAATGGTTCCTTTAATAGAGATGAGTCCAACTTAAGAAGCTCTCTTCACATGAATTTGTTAATTTTTTTTTCTTGTTAATTGCCATTTGATTAGGGAGGTTTTCCTAAAATAATCACATTAAAGTTTTTCTAGTTCTACTCACACCCTTGCAGTTTATCAATAACGTAAACCATCATTTCAAAGTAATTGCCTTCCATTCACATTACAACAACAACAACCAAGCCTTGATCCCAAACTAGTTGGGCTTGGCAATATTGATCCTTTTGTTCCATTCCGCACAATCATATTGCCTTCCATTCATGTTAAATTCATTAATTTATTTATCCTGATTTGATCTTTTGGGGAAAGTTAAATATTTCATGCTTTTTTTTTCTTTACCAGGGATGCAAATACACATTGAGTAACACTAAGGGTAGTCACTTTGAAAGTGATTGTCCAGATGCTCTCCAAATCTCATTCTAGGCAAGATAGACGCACATCTCCATATATGAAAGTGATTGTCCAGATGCTCTCCAAATCTCATTCTAGGCAAGATAGACGCAAATCTCCATATATAGCACCTGAGATACATATCTTGACCAACGGTGACATTAGGAGAGTGTTCAATAGTCGCTGTTGTAGCATTGCTCATTACATATTACAGGCTGCAGCACTCGACACTTCACTTTTGGTGATTCATTATCTACACCATTTTCAGGTTCTTGCAAGACTTGATTTCCAATTGTGGACATTATTTATCCTCCCCATATCATGCAATCAGACTCGGACTTCCTTAAACTAACTTGGGCATAAAGCCCAGTGACTTCCTCATGCTTGCCATAATCCAAATCACACAATGACATCTAATTAGTTTCCGCATCCTCAGCTAGGTTCAGAACTTGATAATTAGATAACTAATTACTCAAGCATAGGAATATAGATGCAACATGTTGATTTATAAGCAAATTTCAGAAGATGGATAGTTACCATGCAAGAAAAAAAAATACCTGTGGGAGTGGTAATACCACGAATAAGTCAATTAAAAACCATCCTCGTAGATAGTGCTTAGCAATTTTCTTTGGATGGTCAACTAACTCTCCAGCACCAACCACTCTAGATTCGGGAGCTACATAAGCTAACCTAAACTGCAGAAAATAAATGAAGAGAATATTGATGGATTAATTGTTATAGCTCAAAGCTGGACTTTGGAATAGCTTAAGAGGAAGGCATTGGAGTTTGACAATCATACCAAACTAATTAGAAGAAAACAACTACAAGCTCGTCAGTTTTCATTAGGAGCTTTTTCATCATTCGGTCGTTGTATAAGCCCATACGGGCTTCCTTCACCTTTAGGTTTTAGCATCATGTGTCATGATCATAGATCATAGATCATAGAAAAAAGGTGTTCTTCTAAAATTTCACCTGATCCTTTTAGCTTTTACTATGTTAAGTGGTGTGTTACTTAGGTTGAGTGTATGGATGAAGTTACTATAAAGCCAACAATAAGTGACCTCTGAGTTACTTGTGAATAACAAGATAGCTTTCGGTTCTAATAGAGATCAAATGTCTAAAAACATCCAGAAAGAAAGAAACAAACACAAATTAATTTAAGGGCCTGTGTACCTGAAGAAGCATGTTCAGTAAGTAAATGGCATCAGTCAAGCACCTAAAAACCACAACTGCTTTAGTCATTGCCCAATCAATAACAATGCACTTGTTTTCCTGCAACCAAAAAAGAAAATCATGTAAATCCCAAAATAATACAACCTAAAGTAATAAACAGAGGAGAATATTATATACAGTGCCTACGTAACAGAGCATTGAAACCAAAAACAGATAAACAGTCCAAACAATAACAGCAACTTTGAGCATTAGTATGAGAGTATTTTCCAAAAAGTCATGTGTGGAATCTGGAAGTGCTATATATCCACACAAAATGACAAACAGCCAAAGACCTCATCCTGGACCCTCTCAGCAACAGAATATCCATGATTAGAACACAGCAAATCAAAAACCCTAACATATGGAATCTGAATACTAACTTAAATAGGATGTGAAAAAAAAACCTCATATCCTTGCAGGAAAAGAAAAATAGAAAAAAAAATCTCTGCATTATATGCTGCACAAACCTGCTTAAAAATTACTAAAAGCATGATTACTGAGCTGTATGTAAGTGCACAATCTGCAAACTTTTACAATTTTAATGATCCTCGAAATATAAGTTCTGGAACTGTAAACAAATTAACCATACATGTTGCACTGACAGCAAGATGAAAAACAAGGGGTCCACGAAAATCGCCACCAAGCAAGAAATGACAAAAAATTTGTTCCACTTCTGAACAACTTTAGCATGAGGATTCATAACTCCAGGAATACATGAGTTTATAGCATTATTGAATCTCCTTGCCCAACCTTTAGCATCTCCATAGAGAACACTATGAAACTGCAAGAAGCACAAACAGAAAGTTTCATGAACAGATGGAAGTAGGTACAGAAAATTATTACAGTTGGTAATAATTAAGAAACGGTGACAATAATTAGAAAATAAAACTATGATCTAGCAATGGTTTGACAGACTGTAATATTACAAATGAGAATATAAGCCACTCACAGGATACTGAATATTGTTTTGTACTTGTAAAATTAGAAATGATACAACTCACATGCAGTTGGATGTAGCTTTTGCAGGAAGATAGTTTTATTGAAGCCCATGTAACTAAGAAAAAATGACAGTAAAGAGTGCACAACTTCTCTCAACAATGCATTCTCCCACAAGGAAAACATTATGGAATTTTATATAAAATAACAGAAAGGGATTCAATTTCTACTAGTATTTATGATATTACACATTCCAATACAATTAGTTACCACAGCTTCTTAATCTGGTTTGAAGCCAACCAACCCCTTCTATAAAGTCTTTACAAACATACTTGAAGTAAAAATTGGTTTGCCTAGTTTCCCAAGTTAACAATGGCATAGGAACTTTACTAATTGAAAAAACTAATCAAATTAGGAACTTCAGACATCAAACCAATGATCAAATTTTGTCAATGCATCAAGCCATCATCTTCACCATATGCATATGAGCTGTCGTAATCTTCAAAACAAATGAACCTATTCTCTTAATTAGCTATCATATTAGGTCCTCAAAAATATCATAAATCATGAACTCTAAAAACCCAAAAATTTAACTGGTTTTTCTTTTTCTCTCCATCATGAACCACAATTCTCCCTCCATCATGTCATAGTCCTCAAAACCAACCAACAGAGGGTTAAAGATCAAACCTTGAGCTTTTATGATTTATGCCATAGAAGACTTTAACTCATTGAAAGTGAAAGTTTTGCAAATGAATTAATGAAAGTGAGCATTCCAAAGAACACAAGAATTTAAATGGTTCCATAACAATTGGCTTTATCGACAGAATAACGCAAACAAGTGAATTTACAATGAGCAGAAAGATAAAATTGTTAGAGAATACTATAAATCATATCCTGGGACCTCACCTAATAGCTTAAGCTTTTGGGTGAGATAGTTTCTAGACATGGTATCAAAGCCTTGATAACCAAACGGTCACTAGTTCGAATCCTACTACCTCCAATTTCTCTTCTAATTAATTAAGCACAAGAAAGTGTGGGCTTATGCAAGTTTCAAGCCTAAAGGACTTTCACATGAAGAGATGTGTTAGAGAATAATATAGATCATATCTTGGACCTCATCTAATAGCTTAAGCTTTTGGGTGAGATGGTTTCTTGACAAAATTATTCCAATCCCAATACCAAAAAGAGAATACGAAACTCAAAACCACAACTACCTAACCAACAAACTACATTCAAAGCGAATCATCATTACTAGGTCCATCAACAGTTATGAAGTTCAGTGCCTAGAGAGCACATGCAACCAGAGCCCATAAAAGCCACCACCCTCAAATAAATACACCTACAGTACTCCTACAACCAATACCTAACTATACACACTAAATCAGACTCCTTAGTATAACATTTTCCTTTTTTGATTGGCTCAAGTAAAACACAAGATGGCTCAAAAGAGGAAACTGAGACACAAAGTCAGATGACATATAACACCTTTCAACCATAACGAATATCACCAATACCCCGCATTGGATCTGTACAACCTCTATTACCGCCACCCACACACTGCTGCAGTACTGCCAAAACTACACCACCTTTTCCTCCATGAAAGCATCAAAACAATAATCATAATCCCATTCCACCGCTGCCGCTCTATTATCACCAACAGGAACAGCCTCAAGAACCCAGACCAATCACCATAATCACAACTTGTATTTTGACTTGTGAGATTTATCACATCATGAATTCACAAGATCTCATCTTTTCACAAAGTACGACCAATTTGAGATAGCATGTCAATGAAATGAAAAGCCATTTACAAGTTTTTTTGCCTTATCCAACCAAACAACTACTCATCACTTTCAAGAACTAGCCTTTTTTCAGTAACAAAAGTATTCTGGATTTTGGGTTCAATACTACCAAGATTAGCAAACAATTCCAGTCATATTGGACAAACATGGTAAAATATTCACAAAAAAAATCCTCTTCTAGACATAAAGCCAGCAAGTGAAGTAATGAAATTAATTTAAATGTTTCAGTATCCCATTGTTAAAGTAGTAAATTCCATGAAAAATACTGCTGGGGTGTTCAACTCTCAAAAAGTGAGCAATCAGCAATGTTGATTCTCAACTGCAACTAAGTTATAAAGAGATGACAGTCAAATGATGAGCTATACTGGCAATGTTGATAAAAACAGAGGTCATTGTGAAACCAAACTAGTGATGGGGAAAATCCTAGTTATATGATAGAATTATCCAACCAAAGTACCCAAGTAAAAATATTTATAACAAAATAGCCATTTAGAGCTGAAGTCTAAATCCTAAATCCAAATAGAAACTGGTTCCCCCTGTTCGTATAATTGAATGCAACAAGAAGTAGCAGTAAAAATCCAGGATAACATGACAGATATTCCAGAAGCTATAAGGTTTTTTCTATTAGAACAAAAGAATACCTTGGAATCAAATATACTAGAAGTTTTTGCATGTCTTTGCTGTGAAGCTCTTGGATGGTAATAAGATGGACATGTTGTGCAGTAAGGATCATTGCACATCCCTAATTGCCCAGACCTCATTAAATGGGCATTTGTAGCAGTGTACTTGTCATCCCAGTCATTCTGATCCATTCCATTGCAAGATGGATATCTTTCTGGCTTGGGTTCCACCTTTTTCCGAGCTGTTACACCATGATTTACCAGAAACAGGTTTTCAGTGTTACGGTTGATATATAATGGACCACTCATCTGTACCAGTGGAGCTTTTCTGTCACTACGCAGTGGACCAGTAAAGCCAACAAGGTTGGTTTCAGAACCATAGGACTCTGTGGAATCCACAGGAATAGAAATTGATGCACTCTGAGTCCTGGAAAGAAATGGCCGAAATCGAGAATCTGCATTTTCATCCACTGACTTTGGATGTGTGTCTGACAGCATTGGTATATAATCTTTGTCATGGTCAGCCATTTCTTATTATATTGCCTGCAAAAAGAACAGAAAATGAAGTCGATATTCAATGCACATAAATGCAAGTCCAATTACAGAACAAAAAATCAAGGAAGAATTGCACTAACTATTTTGATTAACAAGAACAGGAACCCAAAAGCTGGGAGAAGAAAAATAAGAAATGTGTGTGAAACATCACTTGCTTTAATGCTAGTAATGATTCGATGAATACATAAAAACCGCTCATTCAAGCCAAATACATTAGAACAGAAAAATTCTAGTTAATTTTAGTTCCTGTGGTTATAACCTTTAATGAAGAACAGTTCAGCTCACTGAATTCAAGATCAAAAGTTTACAATTAAGCAACGTAGTAGTACTCAAGTGCAATGGTTCTAGCTACTAGCGATTGAAATATCAAAAACTGCCAACAGAATCTATTTCTTAATGCAAGTGTAGGCACTTTTTATTGATTTCTACCAACAAGCAATCTATCTTCAGCATACTTAAAATTTTCCTGTGCAGTTGAGATATTAATTTCTATACTGCAAAGTTCCTAGAGTGGTTAACATCTTTCCAGCTCGAGCCATTCAATGATTATTTCTTTTCCACAAATGAGTTCTGAACAAGCCATTTTAATCTCAATATACGACTCTCTCACTCAATCTTGAATCAACCTAGCGACAATCCTAACGATACTCAGCAGCTAATTATTTCTTAAATCCAGACTTCACCAAGCAGTTTACATAGATACCTGATTCTCTATAGTGGAAAAGATCATTAGTCATAAGGACTTCAGCAGGGCGTCTATAATTCTTACCCATTAGAGAAAACCCAGAGGAGTTGTAAGCTCAAAACTCAAAGACCTAGTTCAAGATGGCATTACTCGGCAAAGCATAACAATTCACAAATTTAGTAGCTAGCTTTTCACATTGGTGCATATTGATAAGACAGCTCGTAACAAGAACAAGAACACCCAATTTGACTTCAAAGGAACAAATTCAACAACATTGATACAGAGTCATTCACGAACAACAAAGGGAAGTAACTTTTAAGCTAAGTTGCTGAACCCCAATTAAGAATAAGTAGACAAAAGCAGGAAGAAAAAAAGAAGGTTCAAAAAAGAGACAAACCTGCTGCAACTCGAAGCAAAGAAAACCCAACTCTACAAATTTCCAAACTGCATCACCTAGCAATTAGCAAAGCAATCAAAGCTTCTATAGAGCGGTACAAAAGGAAAGAAGGAGAGAGTGCCACGAGCTTTGAAGATAGAGAGTGAAAGACTTTGAAAAGTCAGTCGTTGGTATCGTCTCATGCCAAGGACAGAAGGGGAAGTTTTGGCCAATTGACTGGCTTTGTTAAATACAATTTGCAAGATTTTAATGCACTTTCCCAACTTGACATTGCCATTTTACCCTTCTGATTCTTTTCCTTCTGTCATCCAACAACTTCCCTGTCTGCTAAAAAAAAAAAAAGAAAAAACTTCATTTTTGTTGACTCTTCCAAAAAACAAAAACCTTTCACATTGCTATTAGCATTGGATGGTCCCATGTTCTCATGGTCAAGCTTGTACCCTGGGAGGGTTTATCTTTCTCTTAGTTGAAAAATTCATGAATATTACTGGTTAGATAATAATGTCCACCCACCATTACGTAAGATTGATTTGGCCATCATAACTTAGTATATCTAAAAGGTTAATTTGATCATCTTCTACCTTAAGTATAAACAAACACAGTAATTCATGGTTTTCGTTTGGCAGATGTGAAGAGATTAGTACTAATAATAGTTTCAAACTGCAAAAGCCAACCTCGAGCCTTTAATGTTGTCATCAAAATTACAAATTAATCCCCCTACTATCTAAGAGATTTTAACCTAGTTTCTACTAGTTTTTTTTACCAATGTTAGGCTGCGTGTTAGACAAAATACATAAAATTATTTTTAAAAAATCATTTCATTTTAATGTCACTTGTTATATTATACGTCTATCAAAAAATATCAAATCAAAACTGAATAAAAATTCATCAATTTTATTATTTTTTAATCAAAAATTCATATTTGACTAATTATTTTTTATATTTTCATAAATTTTTTATCGAAAAAAATTATTTATTTATCTTTGTCCACTTTATTACCTGAAAAAATCATTTTATAAATTTCTTTTTTCTAAACATCTTTTTGCCTTAAAATTTTTAATTAAAAAATCGAAGAAAAAAAGTAAGGACTAAAGTGACCAAAATAAAACAAAAAAAGCAAGACCAAAATCAAATAAAAAAATATTTGTGGATTAAAAAATAATATTTAAAAAAGAAAGACCGAAGTGTAATGTTACGAAATTTTCATAATAAATGTCTTTAAAATATTTAAAAACTATAAAAACACCATTACATAGTAAAAGAAATAGTACATGTAAATATGGATAAATAGTGCATGTATACCTAAATGAATAATATTTGAAATAGTATAATGAATAGTAAACTTATGTTTTTGTTTAGTCTTTTTTACAATGCTCCATGTGCAAAGAAAAGTAAATGATGAAAAAGAATAAAGAAAAGAAAATTAAAAGAAGAATCCATTAGGGCAAGTATGGATTTTCATAAGTCCGTTGAGTAATAAGGTAGAAATTAAAGGTGAAACGAATGGGTTTTTAGTTTCTTTTATAGTGACATAAAATAAGTTAAGTAATAACTCTACGAGAAATTTTATAAAACACAAAGAGTAATTAATGACATATATAATAATTACTTATAGATCCAATTTGAGAAAAGAGATAGAAACAACTCCACCTCTAAGAGAAAAGAAATTAAAAAAAAAATGCCAAATTGGCATATCGGATGACTGCAAAAAAAGAATGCATTTGATGGACGGCTGAGATCCAAGAAATGTCTGAAACAGGGTACGTTAGTCACAATGAATGGGCATTATGCATGTGAAGCAATAGTAAATGAATAGAAACAACTCTAATTCTTTTAGTTTTTCTTATTTTTTTTCTTAATAATATGTATCCTTAAAATATTAATTTTTAATCAATAGTACCCCAATCAAAAGCAATTAACAAAAATCATTTTATCTTCTTATATAATAAACATGAAGGACGAGAGACTTTGATGATTTAATCTTTTTAGTCAACAGACCTAAACCAGGGCATGATGGAACCCTCGACGTTGCTTCTGATTCGTTTCCTTCTATCATCCAACATCTTCCCTGTCTACTTCAGAAAAGTTTATTTTTAGTTGACTCTTTTAATAAGGAATAACCTCGTCTTGGTGAAGCTTGCACCCTGCGAGGGTTTACCTTTCTCTTTCTTGAAAAATACATGAATATTACTGGTTAGATAATAATGTCCACCTGACCATTACGTAAGATTAATTTGACCATCATATCTTCGTAAATCTAAAAGGTTAATTTGATCATCTTCTACCCAAAGTATAAACAAATACAGTAATTAATGGATTTCTTTTGGTAGATGTGAAGAGATTACTTTACCATATAACTAACAAAACAGTATTCACTTAGGGTTTTTTTTTATATATATAATTTTTAAATTGTTTCATTTTTTGTCCTAGAATTTTAAATCTTTAATTGATGCAGTAAATATGCTTTTTTTATTTTTGGTTTTTTCCTTTGATTTTTTCTATCAATTTATTTTCTTTCTTTATTTAAATAAATGTTAAAATTTTGAAAAATAAATCGTTATTTTTTTCTACATAAATTGACGATTATACAAGGGTGTTTGATTATTGATTCTCACTATTCATCCCCTTACAAAGCACTATTCACTCAGTTTTTTAATAATTTTTAAATTATTTCAATTTGGTCCTTAGAATTTTAAAATAAAATTTTAAACCCCGAATTGATGCATTATACATGTTTTTTTTTTTTTTTTGGTTTTTTCCTTGATTTTTTACATCAATTTATGTTTTTTTTAAATAATTGTTAAAATTTTGAAAAATCAATCGTTATTGTTTTTCATACAAACTGATGATTATATAATATATACGATATATTTTTAGATTTTAGAATAAATATATACTACTTTTATTGTTTAAAATTGATTTTTTCGATTTATTATAAAAATTCACATCAAGTTAATTTTTATTCTTATTTTTATATAGTTTTATTTATTAATACATATGATTTATTTTCTCTATGCATGGATTCGAATAAGCTTTGTTTATACCTTTTTTATTTGCTTAATTCTTATATAATCAAATTTTAAAAATAGAATATATGTATTTTATTTTCTTATTCTTTATATAATCAAATTTTATCAAAATTAATTTTTTATTTTTTATTGTACTCTATTAACTTCAATATATATTTCATAATTTAATTTTTTAAAATATTTTTTAATTTATGGTATACATCATCACTCATTGAATATGGTCATGATGTATAAAAAATAATAATATTGAAGTCATTGATTTTATTAGAAATTAACTATGCATCTACACACACAATAACAATTATTTAAATTTCATTCTTTGAATGTGTGTGTATGTGTATTAAAATTAACATATACTTTAACATATATTACTCTTTTTATTTAAATTTCATTCTTAGAATTTATCATTTTTTTATGAAAATTCTCATCCAATTAATATTTTTTATATAAAATTTTATTTACTAATAAATATAACTTATTTTTCTCTATGTTTGAATTTTAGAATAAAATTTTAAAACATGATTTTTTTTCTTTTTTAAAAAATAAATTGGTAGAATATATATCATGAATTTCTTAGAATTTTTAAATGATAGTTGCATATATATATTAGAAATCAACTATGCGTCTATACACACAATACCAACTATTTAAATTTCTTTATTTGAATGTGTGTGTGTGTGTGTGTGTGTCTATATATATATAAATTAACATATACTTCAACGTATATTACTCTTATTATTTAAATTTAATTATTTGAATGTATCGTTTTTTATGAAAATTCTCATTCAATTAATATTTTTTATATAAAATTTTATTTACTAATAAATATAATTTATTTTTCTCTATGTTTGAATTTTAGAAT